TGCTGACCTCCCCCCCCCTCCCCATTACTTCAGGGTTGTAGCTGAAAACATGAAGCAGTTTCGTCTGTCTAGGCAGCATCCTCTCTTCATCTTGCAACATCCACAACGAAATCCAGAATTGAATCCAACTTGCATCATTTACCTTTGGGCGCCTGTCACATCGAGTCTTCCTTAATCGTAACATTACCACCTCCACAAAGATCGCTGTCCACAGAGCGCTATGCATCGCCAACTTGCTGTTCAGTCGTGAGACCTGGACCATGCATAAGGCTCGCTTCAAAAGTCTGGAGGCTTTCAATACCCATTGTCTTTAGCGGATCCTCGGACTCACTAGGGCAGACCGAGACCATATGTTAATGACCTTCACCCCCATATATATGTTCAGAACATTTATTTTGCTCTTGGTATATATGGATATTCATATATGAGTGTATGTGCGTCCAAACGTATTCTCGAACCAAAGGCCCGAAATTGCATTAATTACATGTTTTGTTAATTCAAACTTTCATCTATCAAACAAGCTTCGAAATATCCACGTTAATGCACCCCAATCGTTAGATAGAGTGCATTAACGTGAATATATCGACGCTTGTGTTATACATAGAAGTTTAAATTAACAAAACATGTAATAAACGCAATTTCGAGTAACTGGATGTGCACGCCTTTATATGACTACACACACACACACACACACACACACACACACACACACACACACACACACACACACACACACACACACACACACACACACACACACACATATATATGTATAAGCTTATACAATATATACATGAAAATACACATTTTTATCTATGTATGTGTGTGTTTCGGGGAGATTTTGAGTTTGTTGGGGGTGAAATTTCGACATCTATACAGTCTTTGTGAAGAATAAAATCAGCAGAATTCAATTAGATTTAGGTTTGATGAATCAAAACAGCGGGGCAGGAGAGCTTTCACGAGTCTGAAAATAGGAAATATTCAGTCCCGGCTGATTCGTTAATAATGAAATATGGTATTTGCCTATGTTGTTAAACCTGAACTTTCCCGTACGATCAAAGGTTTTGAGAGCAATTGTGAATATGACAGTTGTAAATAATAGTCGAGATTGACACTATCTTCCCCGAAAAATGACTATAAATTCGGCTGTAAATCGTAGTTATACCAGCATTCGGCATATCAACTGCTGCGCGCGAGATGCATCAGGCGTGCCAACAGTCTCCGCAGAAGTCTCCAGGGAAGGGGCTTGCCCGAGCGGTTTAACAATATGGTGTGCGCCTGCGGGGCTCCCCGCACCCTGTCCTGGGGACTGACTTGCGGGGCCCGCACCTGCGTTTTAATGATACGGCCGTTCGTATTGAGGCTCGAATTATCCAGCGTCAGTTACGACGGGTAGGCCACTCTTACCGTGCAGACCCTTCTCCGCGGCGAACTTGGTCAACGTTCTGTCGGTGGCCAGAAGAAGCGCTTTAAAGACCCTTTGGAAGCGACCCGCGAGTCATGTAGTGTTGGAACAGCTCGCAGCGAACGGGAGCGCCTGGCCGCCTACGACCCACGCTGCAGTGAACACCCGTAGCCGAGAACAACACCGCCGTCGGCATGAACAACTGTACCAAGGCCCCCTTTCCCCAGGCACCTAATACCCGCTCAGTGGAGGGCGATGGGCTCCGGAGCTGCCGAAGAGGCCGTCAGGGCCGACGTGGCTCCCCTCCTTAGAGTAGGCTAACCCTTGCTTGTTCGCCTTCATTCTTAAGGAGCGATATCATCGTTTCGATGGACTACCAATATGAGATAAAAAAGGGGGAAAAAAAATGTACATACATCTATACGTTCCTACATATGTAAACCCATACATACGTACATATACACATACACAGATACATGTATTCCTACATACATGCATTCCTACATACATGCACGCATGCATATATGCATGCATGTATTCATCCCTCCCTCCCTCCCTCCATCCATCCGTCCATCCATCCATCCACATACATACATGGAGAGAGGTAGACGGGCAAATACACACACACATAAAGAAACACACAAATAAACACAAATCTACACACCGGGAGTTGATAAAACAAAAACATCATCATTGTCACTACCATACTAGTGATAATGATAAAATATCAAACAACAGCGAAAGCAAAACAATAAACAAGAACAACAACAGTGAACAAACAATAAACAACGATAACAAAATAATAACATACAACAATAAGACAACAATAGTAAACAACAACAACAAAAAAGACAGAATGGGAGGAAAAGTAAATATATAGTAATAAGAACGTGTGTAAAGAGAAGGCTGCGTCTAAAGTATAGCATATAGCAGACATAGATATTGCTACGAATGTACATGTAGATGTAGAAGTAGATATAGATGTAGCTCTAGATGTAAATGTAGATAGAAATGTAGATATAGATATGAATATAGATACAGATAAAGAAAAATAGATATATAGATATAGATATAGATGTAGACGTCCAAGAACCGACCTGGTGTGTTTATTTTTATGTAATGGAAGATCGAATTACAGACAGGAAAAATGTGGAGAATTTTTTTTTATCATTGCGTAAAGTCATGGCCATGTTAATGTCTGTTCTGATAGTCATAAGCGTGTCTGTTTTAGCTGTCTTTTGTTGGGGAGAGAAAAAAAAAACATGTATAAGAATAACTATTTTCACGAAAGATACAGTTATATATCATGCATTATTAAGTTATTCGTTCTCATTGTTTTGTTGTATATATAGTATTCAACTTACAAAACTTTATTTCGATACGATCAATAAAAAAAAAGTTTGAAATGATAATGACAACGATGATGTCAGCAAGCATAACTGTAGCATTTCGTTTTCTGTGAGTGGTTCTAGAACTTTATCATAAAAAACCGACAACTGTGGTTTATTCTGGTATTGTCGGGGAAAAAAATAGCAGTAAGAAAAGAAATAATATTACAAAAGAAAGTAGAAATAAAAGTTAAATTTCTGGACTTTTTAGTACCAATCGATCTACATATTGACATTTTAAAGTATGCAAATACAGTTTCTACGCAAAAAAAAGAAGAAGAAGAAACAATCCTAAAGTACATTTTTTAATTGTGCGGTAAAATATTTTGAAATATGTTTAGAGTGTTGGGGAATGAAAGCCCAAGGGATTTTTGATAACGATGATAACGGAGAGGTACTGTCCTTTGGGTCAATGATATCTTTTCAACGTGATTTTTTTTTCAGGAAAAAGCATTAGTACCGGATAAGAAATACGATTAACTATTTTTGGTATATTTGATATATTTTTTTGATATCTTTTTTTAACACAATTTTATTTCTCCTTCCTATTTTTCTTCTTCCTTACATTACATTGCATTATTAATATTATGAGGAGAGCTAGTAACGTTAATAATTATAGTTCCATTAACAATGACGGTAATGATAACGATAATAATAGTAGTGATATAATGATACTGAAAGGACGAGAACGATAATGATAAAGGTGATAATAATGATAATTTTAATGATAATAATGATTATACTAATAATAATATTGATACAATAATAATAATATTCATACAATAATAATAATGATGGCAATAATAATAATAATAATAATAATAATAACAACAGCAACAAAATTACAATAATGATAATGATAACAATGATAATAATGATGATAATGATAATGATAATAATGATGATGATAATAATAATAATAATAATAATGATAATAAAAATAATAATGAGGAAAATAATAATAAATAATAATAATAGTGAAAATAATAATAAATAATGATAATAATGAAAATAATAATGAATAGTAACAATAATGAAAATAAAAATTATTATTGTAATAATAGTTATAATAATAATAATAATAATAATAATAATAATAATAATAATAATAATAATAATAATAATAATAATAATAATAATAATAATAATAATAATGATAATAATAATAATAATAATAATAATAATAATAGTGATCAAAATATTAGAAGTAATGATAATAATAATAATGATAACAATAATGGTAATAATTATTGTGATAAAAACAATAATAATGATAATAATAATAATAGTAATAACAATAGTAATAATAGTAATAATAATGATAATAATGATAATGATAATAATAATAACAATAATAATAATAATAATAATAATAATAATAATAATAATAATAATAACAATAATAATAATAATAATAATCATAATAATAATGATAATAATAATAATGATAATAATAATAATAATAATAATAATAATAATAATAATAATAATAGTAATAACAATAATGATAATTATTATTATGATAATAAAAACAACAACAATAATGATAAATAGTAATAATAATAATATTAATAATAATAATGATAATAAGAATAATAATGATAATAATAATAATAATAATAATAATAATAATAATAATGATAATGATAATGATAATGGTAATGATAATGATAATGATAATGATAATGATAATGATAATGATAATGATATTGATAATAATAATAATACTTAATACTAATGATGATGATGATAACAATAAATGCTAAATAGTAATAACATCATTGATAGTCTCAATAATAAATATTACAATAATAACAGTGATAGAAAACACAGACTCGTACACACTCATGCGACTTCCCCTGTGTATAAAAAAATGACACATATACAATTAAATGAAACCCTAAGAATCACACGAACATCCTAAATACATTGTTTAAAATAAATAACATTATATAAAGAGGATTGTATTGTATTTATTTAATTTTTAAAAATGAGATTTATTGTACTTTGCAAAAAAGGAGACTTACTGTACGTCATTATAAAAAGATATAGCAGTTATAGATTCTCTGGAACGGAAGATGAAGACGGAAAATTTGCATACGTAAATATTAGGAATTGTGTTCATATTAAGGACGTTCACTTTTTCGATGCATTATTCAACACCATCTCGAAGTACAGAGCATTTTTATTTAAAATATGAGGTAGCG